ACCGTACGTACCGTACCGTACCGTCGTCTCGTCTCTCTCTCTCTCTCTCTCTCTCTCTCTCTCTCTCTCTCTCTCTCTCTCTCTCTCTCTCTCTCTCTCTCTCTCTCTCTCTCTCTCTCTCTCTCTCTCTCTCTCTCTCTCTCTCTCTCTCTCTCTCTTTCTCTCTCTCTCTCGTTCTCTATCTCTCTCGGCCTTCCCTTCCTGGCCGACCGATCGCGATATTAAAATTAGTGTTTATATACATGGGCGGACCGGTTTTTAACGCAACGCTGTTTGAAAAGTGCTGTTAACTGATTTACACTGATGTAACGCGAGGATTTCGGCCGGCCGGCGGAATAAAGAATGCAAAAACATTCTCTTCTTCCAGGAACTCGAAACTCGAACTCCGGGTGAATTATAAACGCCGGAAATCGCGCGGCGATCAGAGATTTTATCGGATGTATCCGCTCAACTCTCCTTCGTCCGTTTCTCCTTCGCGATTATCGGTGCGTTGTAAATCGAAGTTATATTATCGGCGAGGAGGGAAAAGAAATGCGTGACGATAAACGGCGAACGCGCGCGTTTATTTCGACGATATTAGAGACTCGCAATCGTCCTCTGTCACCTCAGCGATAAATACCAATTGAGATTAGCATCAGCAGCAACGCCTAACAGATGGGAGCGAGCGAGAGACGAAGATCCGAAGGAAGAGGGTGGAAAAATCCGAGAACGGAAGAAAAAAAATGAATCCCTCCGAGTTTCGATAGAACGCTAGAAAACGCGTATACAAGCTATTTCTCGATTCGTGCGACCGCAATGATACTATATGATAAAAATCTCTTTCGCCATTTTATAAAGATAGTGTCCGAGAAATCCTTCGTATAATCGTTCGAAAAAGTTCTGCGGAAAGAAAAGTTGAGAATATCTTTTTGCCGCAGAACGGTAACTGGACTCGTCAGAAGGACATTAAATCAGGAAAGCCAGTTAGTGACAATGAATTTTCGAACTTTCAATATTTGAATGCGAATTAAGAACGATCCGAAAATGGATAATAAGGCTCACGGAAAATATCAGGGTCGACAGCTTATGTAGACTTAAGCTGACGGTCAGAGATCAATCAAAAAAAGGCAAGTTTTGTACAAACACAACTGACACGTCAGGGTATACATTTCTTTTTTTTAGAAAAAATAATACATGTAAAAATTTCCCAAACCTTTTTTAACATTCTAAACTCGATATCTGAAGGTCTCTCTTGTCTAGCGTGTAATTTAAATCGTCGCGTAAACTCGAGGAGGAAAAACATTTTATTGTCGCGGAATTATTCGCATTTAACAACAAGCCGTTTCGCTTCGTTGATTATTCGGCAAACACACGTGCGATACGCATTCGTCGACCGAATTTGTATGCCGTGTGCGATATCTTTGTTACTGTTTTCAAAACGTCATCGCGATAAAAGTGGCGCTCGATTATCATTGCGATCTCGTAAGGCGCGATATTCGTTCGAGTCGAATTAAATACGAACACCTTCTCTCGATCTTCTCGGTATCCTCCGTCTTTCCCTCGCATACGTAAACACGTTAGGATATACGACGGACGATTCCGTCCGTGTCGACGATAAAGGAAACGGATAGTTAAATAAGAGAGAAATAAACTAGAACAGGTAACGAAAGCCGTGTAAGAAGAATGGAATTGATGGAGGGAAAAAGAGGGCACGCGCGAGCAAGCCGGTGGACACTGCTAGATCCTTATAAAGAAGAGAAACGAGCTACTTGGATCCTTCTCTCTCCGCTTGCCCCGATGTTCTCTCTCTCTC